AGGGGCACACAGCATGTCCTCAGTGGCTCCCTGCCCAAGAGAGCAGGTTTTAGGAAGCCTTAGGAAGCTCTCTGCCCTACCCCCAATCTCTCAGGCAGCTGAAGAGCGGCTGCGAAGGTCTTAGCAGAGTCCTTGGTCTGACCCACAGCAGTCTCTGTTTATTGCTGCCTTATTTCCGTGCATGGTTAATGATCCTTATTCTCTTCCCCTTAGCTCTGAGGAGACCTCATTGCGCTGAGAAATCTGCACTATGTAAAACTAACAGTGTTTGTGCATTAAGTCTTTGCAGTTGGGATTTCCGTATCCCTTGGTAACCTTGGCGTAAGTGAACTTTCTGAGCAGCCACACTCCTACACCAGCACTGCCAGAGTTTTAGCAGGTTTGAGGCTTCTCAAACCAAGAAGAGTTCTTTGAGCTGAATACTAGAAGTTAGTTGGGGATGTAGGTGCATGACAACTATCTCGTGTGCGGGAAAAATAGAGTATCTAAATCTGAAAGAACCTAAAGTACCCTGTCCAAAAATTGCAGGGTTAGAAGCTGCAAACTTACACAGTTAAGTGCTGAAGTCCAGTGCTTTTTTTCTGAGGAGCTCATTAACTATGTCTCTGGTTCACTGCTGCACCCCTGCAAAAACTCAGTAAATGTCTTTAATGGTTTTAGGACCTTCTTAGAGCTTGTGGTTTAGAAAAGCTTAACTATCAGTTAGATATTACACTTAAACAACATATTTTCTCAGGAAGTTTAAATAGAGTCTTAAATAACACTTCTCAGTAACTCCATCCCCAAATATAGGCATTTCTTTTCTTTTTTTACTGCTTTCCTTTGTAAATAAAAGACTTAACCCCTGACAATAAATGTACCAGGATCTCCCCACCCCAGATTAAATATGCTGCAGAGATACTAATTCATTAAGTGGAAAAAGCCAATCCCTTGCTGGCACATTACAGTGCAATTATCTATTCTGCCCCCTTTTATTATTATTAGTCACTGTACCTGGAAAATGGATCACCTTCAAGTTGATTTACATTAAAACAGTGAGCTCCACAGGGGCACAGCTGGTCAGAGCTAGCTCCACATACCCACCCATTGCCCAGGAGGAGAAGGGAGGAGGCATCAAGTTAGGGAAGTGGGGGTGTCTGGCTGAGAACAAAATTTCCTGCGTGCAGTGTTGTTTAATCCTCCATTAGGAAGTGAGAAATGATCTGTGTCGCAGCCGTTTGGGTACTCACCTTCGAGGTAAGATCAAGCAAGCCTGTCCTGAATCTCTGTTGCCAGGCACAGCTGTCACAAAATATTAAAATCTATCTGGAGACTAAATCCACCAGCAGGATTTTTACAGTCAATTGGAGATAAATTTGTTTATTTTCTCTGACTATATTGAATCTGAGCAGGTTCAGCTTTCTCTGCCCCTCAGCATGACCTCTAGGCAAAAGGACAGAACTTGCAACACCACAGCTGATCCCCAAGCTTTTCCCCAAGTTGCTGAGCTATTCTTTACCAGGATCAGACTAAAAAGGTAGAAAATCCAGCCTCTAAGTAGTCCCAGTTCAGGTTACACCTCAGCCTTTGAAAGCATGCATGGGAAAACTTGCTGAAGGCATTTTGCACGGGAGCATTGGTGACTTCTTCAGAGTTCAGAGTTTGTAGTGAGATCAACCAAACTTATTCTAGTTAAGCTGACAGAAATTTCTGGCATGCAGGTGCACTCTGCTGAGGCTCAACTCACAGAAATCAACGGAAAAGTTGTTTTCAGTGTTTCTCCTGGATGCACTTAGGCAGCCTGGGGAGGTCAGCAAAGTTTCCAGATGAAGAGCAAGCTTGCATTTCCTCAGCAGCACAGATGTTGGCTGAAAGAACAGGGATGTTGTTTGGTGCAGTGGCCACACCTGCAGCAGGACTTGGTGACCCTGCCAGAGCAGAACCCCAGATTTGCAGAGCTGACTGTAACCCTGAGCCAGGTCCTATGGACAGTCTCTTCCCTGGGGCAGGAAGCAGGAAAGAAGGGTCACTACCAGCCACATGGGATGGCTGAACGTTTTCCTCATAGTCCCTTAGCCAGTAAGCACAGGTTTTTATTGTGTACAGTCCTTTTCCCCCCAAAAAAAGGACAACCCTCCCCATGCCATTTTCCCTTAAATCCTGTTTTCTATTAATTCAGGATTAAGCCACTTGTTCTACTTCCTTGCCATCCCCTTCAGGTGAAAAGAGAGACTTAATCTCTGCCTTCTAACATTGGGAAAAAGCTTCAAATGAGCTTTGGCAAAACTCATTGCAGTAATTCTCAGGTGAGTTTTGTTCCAGCATCAACCCAGCCTTCCAGGGTTGAACAGAGAGCAGCAGCTAGAAATTATGGAAATCTGAGTTTAATATAGCCAATCTTGGGTGGTTTTCAGGCAGCTTCTTGCTTCATTAGAGAATTTAGTGGCTTATTGCCAGCAGTGATTCTGTCCAGAATAGATGGAAATCTTATTTCTAGACCTACAAAGCAGCAAATTTATATAATCTATACCATAAGGGGCATGTTTGTGCTGTGCCACAGGTTTTATCTTTCTCCTGCTTAAAAAAATATAATCTACCCCTAACTAGCTGCTCTGCACAAACTATGATCATGCTTTTCATCATAGGGCTGTAAGAGCTAGGGGAAATTGTTACCTGTGTCTTTTAAGAGGGTTAAAGCCCAACTCACTGAACAGAAAAACTACTTGAATCTAAAGATACAGACATGGGTTCAGCCAGCGCCAAGGAACACCCTTAATGACAACCTTAATGAAGAATTAAAGGTCTGGTCTGCCAGATTGCAGGGGGAGGACAGGCAAAATAAAGGAGACACGTGGGATGTGCAGCTCACAGGAACAAGAGGCTTTTGTCAGGGAAGGGAGCTGAGACCTTCCCAGGCAGAGAGCTGCATTGCTAGCACCACTGTTAGGTGTTAGAGGTACTTCTTGCTCACCAGCAAGTTCCATGCACCAAATTCCTGAGCCCCATGTAGAATTTGCACCAAATCTTCATTATAAGTCTTGCAGGTCCCTGCTCTCTGGCTGACCATGACTTTCTTCCACATGGAGGGAAGCAGCTCACTCCAGCAGTGTTCACCCTGGCATGGGAGGCTCTTCCTCAGGCACACAATAGCAGCAAGAGGGTCAGGACACACAGGCAGGGACCAGCAGCAGGATATGAGTGTTTCAGTGTCCTTCACAAGACTCCTCTTCTGCCTTTGGGTGTTAGGTTATTGTATCTATCTAGGAGGCACATCCCATCCCTGCACACAGAGTTATAGGCTTGCTGGTGACATGTTTCCCCTTTGCTGTGTGGGTAAGGTGGTATAAGGGCATACAAGGTCATCTCATGCCCTCTCTTGCTCAGTTCAACACCCCATGATCTTCATCTTCAGTCTCTTGCCCCTCTCCTTTTTAACTCTGTCCACACGAGCTGAGTATTTTTGGAGGAAGAGCTCCATAATGAGGAACCCCAACAGTGGGGCAGTATTGCTTTCTTCATCTCAAGGCTGGGAGAAGAGGACATGTGCCACCCAGGAGGGCTCACACTGACTGTCCTCTTCCCAGGGTACAGCCAACACCCTGCAGCAGCTCTCTTCAAGTCAGATTTGAGGCAACTGCCATTATTTTCATCCATGTTCCCCCTCCATCCCTGGTCACCACACAGTGTAGCTCCACCATGAGCAGTGCAGTCCCATTCTGTGGGGACACGGTCATGAGGACTCCACAGGCTTGGTCTGTCTGGGGGTTCTTTACCCACAGGGAAGGAGTATATGCCATCTGCTCTGTGTGCTGCTGTTCTCAGAGGTGCTTGATCCAGGTCCTCTCACCCCTAATTTTTCATCCTGGCAAGCATGTTGACTCGAAGAAGTGCTGCCTCAAGGCCCATCAGCTTTTGAGGTGCCCAGCCATTCCCTACGCAGTGTCATTAACAAACCAGCAGCAGTATCACCTCCATGCCTGAGTTAGGCTCCCCTGGTATAACTTCTAAGCAGGACCCACAATAAATGTGGACCATCAACGACTTTGGGGATGGAGTCTTGCTCGAGAGCAAGACACAGCCATAGGTGATGTCCCTATGCCATTAACTTCCTCCAGCATGTCCTCTTAAAGGAGATGCACCCAATCTTGCACCAAGTTTCTTCCTAAAGATCTCCACCTTCTGGTTATAACTGGCAGTGGCAAATGACTTGTCATTAAATTCGATTCAGACTATTAATGGTTTTATTCCATCCAATTTTGAGGTTAAACCCCATCTATCCTGCTGCTGCCAATCAGGAGCTGATACAGGAGGGTCAACTGATCTTGGGATCACTTGCAGATGTACATTGAACAGAGTTGGTTTCTTTGCAGAGCATGGCACAGAAAGTGACACCAGGCACCTCTGTGGACGGGATTTGTCCCACCTACATGTACAAAGTGGTTCTGCTGGGGAGCATGTCAGTGGGAAAGTCAAGCTTGGCCTACCGATACATGAAAAATGACTTCAAGGAGTTGCTGCCAACCGTGGGATGTGAGTGAGTAGCTTCAATAGCTTGCTGGCTTTGAACAAGAGACCAGGCCTGATGCCCCTCCCTTGCAGCAGGGTGGGATGCAGAAGGACCAGTTGGTACATCTTGAAGTAGCACAGACCCACTTCTGAACATGATACACACTTGCCCCCAAGCCAGACCTACCACTTCACTGTCATCTTCACATCTCTATAGTCCATTTCCTCAGCACCAGGCTATAAGCCACATTCATCTCAAACAAGTTTGGCTTTGTGCTGCTTTCTAGAGACAGATGAGCAACAAAACAAGTGAAACCTGGAATTCAAACTGTTCAGCCCTTCTGCTCTTTGCACGCTTGGTCCTGTGCTGCCCTCTCAACTATTAAGACGCTCCAGAAGGATCTCATAGAATGGTTTGGGTTGGAAGGGACTTTATAGATCATCTAGTTTCAATTCCCCCGCCTAGGCCCTACAGCACCTAGACATTATATATGTTCATTTGCCCTAAGAAGGCACAGCAGACACAAAGGCTGTGGTCCCACCTGTACCTGAAGAGCTAGTTGGTAGAGGAGAGCAAGGTGCTGTGGAAAATCTCCCCTTGTCCCTCTTCCTTGGCTCTGGCTGGTTCACAAGCAATATGACTCCTTTCCAGCAGAAGCCCTTTCAGTGGATATTTCTATTCACATCTCTCAGGTCTGACACACCAGCAAGGTCGAGGTGGTTCTCTGTCTGGGGGCTATTCATCTGATGCCCCAAACCTGGTGTGCATCCACCCATATCTGTCATCAGGAAGGGCCCCCGGCCTTGCAGTATGTCATCTGATCAGCACTGCCAGTGATCATGAGAAATTCACCCTGATTTTGCGTGTTAGAACATCATTACTGACCCTGGGGATTGGTTTGACCTCACAGCAGCTGACCTGAGCTATCTCCTCTTGTTGCATGTGAATATGTACCCTGCATTTTGTTTACAGGTGCCTTCTTCACAAAAACACTCAACCTAGAAGCAGCCACTGTCAAGTTTGAAATCTGGGACACAGCAGGCCAGGAAAAGTACCACAGTGTCTGCCACCTCTACTACCGGGATGCCCATGCTGCTCTTGTCGTTTATGACATTGCTAACAAGGTAAAGCGGAGGATGCTGATCCCATCCATGATGGAATTTGCCATGCTGCAGCAGCACTGGTGGGGCAGAGGTGTCCAGATCATGGTGTTTGTCCTTAGCAGAGCAGAAAGTGGTATATGAGCATCACCTGAGAAGGTGAACATCCCACCTGGGACTTGTCAGGTGTTGTCCCTGCCTGTGAGAACTCCAGGGTGATTTCTGTTGCCATGCAGCATTCTAGGTTGATTTATCCCTAAAAGTGTTTGAGGGCTGGTGACCTGTTTCTCTGAGAGAGGGCAATCAAAATCTTGCCACTATACCTCTTCTACCCATTTTGGTTTGGTGCCTCATGTCCAGCTTTGCTATGTCTGAGAAAAAGGGATTAAATCCAAATCAGATCACTGGGTGGTTTTGTCTCCCTCTCTCCAGGAAACATTCAACAAAGCAAAGCTGTGGCTGGTGGAGCTGGAGAAGAAATTCCTTCCCAATGAAATTGTCATTGCTTTGGTTGGCAACAAGATTGACCTTGCTGCTGAGCGAGAGGTTGCCACTGAGGTTAGTGCGTGTGGTGAACTCCCAGGCTCCCTCATCACTCCCTCACCAGCAAACACTAGGATGTGTCCAAGGAAATTAAGGGTTTAAAAGATTTTCAGACACCTCCAAAGTCCCCAGACCCACCAAGAAATTACACCTTAACTGAACAAACAGCCCTAGAGGGGGCTGGCGTAATAACACTGTTTGTCTCCGCTTAGGAGGGGCAAGAGTTTGCACGGACAAAAGACCTCTTGTTTATGGAGACATCTGCAAAATCCAATCATCAAGTAAATGATATCTTCATGGCTGTAGGTGAGTTATGTGATGGCTCTAGGTGAGAGCAGAGGCAGCTGAACCATGGCCCCAAGCTCCTGAAAAGCTGGCCCCCTTCATTGCTCCTGCTTGGCACCGAGATCTTCTCAGCCAGTCCAGCCTGCACCCACTTCTTAAGGCAGAAGGTTGGTCAGATCTATCCCATCATCAAAGATTTCAGGCCTTCTCCCAAGGCCACAAATTTATTTTGCTTTAATATCCAATCTAGGGGTAATGGTGTCCCCAGCTTAGCTGTTCAGGGAACTGTGGGATGTTCCCCTGGGGTGGGATTGGGTGCCCATCACATTCCACACCACCAGCAGGAGAAATGAGCCCTTTCTTTCCTTGTGTTGCCTCCTAGTCCAAGAGCTCCTGCGGCGGGAAGAAGAGAAGGCATCCACCCCATCCCCACATGGGAGGTCAACAGTCAGCCTGGAGGAGAGCAGGGCAAGGATGAGGTGCTGCTAGCTCTGAGAATGTGCAACTCTGGACCTCAGTCGTGGCTGGATGAGGTCTCCACAAGGAGCAATGATGAAGCAGTGAGGACTCAGAAGTACAGGGGCATCTCAGCCTGAACACCCTCCCCCTCAAAACAAGTTCAGAGCCCATCCTGGGTATGCTGGGCCTCTTCAACCCTCTAGCACTGTCTTCATCTGAGAGATAAAGCACAGGGATTTCTTCTACCAAGCTTCCACTTACAGAGAAGAGCATGACCTGTCAGCAACACTGCCACCAACCCTGACTGGTGACATCCCTCCACCCCAGTTGCATGTAACCTCCTCCGTCTCCCTTCCCATCTGAAAAGGAGGGTTTACTTTTCTGGAGCAAAGCAGGTGCATCCAGTGGCCTTACACACAGGCTGCAAATAAAGACTATTGCTCTAATGGTGTGTTATTTTTTAATCCTGTCCTGGATCTCAGCCTGCAGGTGGGGACCACAGGAAGCCTGGAGGTAGCAGGAAGCATAACTAGCTCTCCTCTCAGCCCACCTGACTCATTACAGGGGTCACAGACCATCCTTGGGAGAAATCACCCATTTATTGCCAGCATAAGAGCCAGAATGGGGCCAGAGCAAATGTGTGCCATTGTGATATGCCATGCCTTGTAGAGCTTCCCCTTTGCACATTATGAGTTAGCTGTGGGAAAGTACCTTGGCTGGAAGAGGAGTAAAAAACACATGTGCTCTCTCCAAAGGCAGCAGCACTCACCCTGTCTGCAGGGCAATACACTCCTAGTTTTTGGGGCATGCCCTGATGGCCATGAGAGCCCATGAGGCAAAACCTGGCCAGGCTGAGCTCAGCCACAAGGCAGCAGACACCCTCAAAGATACTCTCTATGAAGAGGAAGGGACCACAGCACCTTTTGGCCAGGTCAGCTTGCACATGAGGACACCGCCAGCACCCCATACCATCCAGGACATCCACCTGCAATGCTTCCCTGGGGTTGAGCCATTCTGGAGTGGGACAAGGGCTCCTCAAAAAAAGAGGCAGATTTGCTGCCTCCTCTTGCCTAAATCCCCTTTGTTAGGGCAGCTGAAAGCCATTGGGTGCTAATTGCTTGGGGACATAACTTGTGAATGTACATTTGGGGACATGCAGCATGATGGACAGAGCATCACAAGCATTTCAGACCCAGGGTATAGAAACAGGATGGCTGTTTCTGACACCAGCACCATGGGAGTTAAGGTATCGGGAGCACACACGGATGCTGGCATGCTGTGAGGACCCCAGGGATGCACCTGTGTTTTTTGAGGTTGTGTGGGGATAAGCATACTGTGTCGTGCAGAGAGGGAAGTTGTGCCACACTGCACGCACTGCCAGGGCAGGCTGCAAAACCATGATGAGACCAGAAAATTTTGGGGTCACCACCTCCCACCCTGAACCCTCCCATGCTCCCCACTGCTGCATTCTGGAGCAGAAAGGCCGCAACATTGTGATGAGAGGAGAAGGGTTTTTATTGTCAGCTTCAGCTCAGGGGTTCTGCTCCTCCCGAGGAGGGTGGGGGTGCAGGTGGGAGGCTGCACAGGCTTGCTGCTGGCTGATTCCCCTAGGATGGGTGCCCTCACCCAGTGCTCGCCGCCTTCCAAACCGCCCCACTGGCCTGATCCCGCGTCCCGTGTACCAGGAGGGGTCGATGTCCGGATCTGCAAGGGTAAAGCCAAGGAACTGTCAGGGGGTGATGGGGGAGGATATGAAAGGAGACAGGGCATTTCATCCATGGGTGAGAGGATGATGAATGCCAGGGAAGCAAGAACGGGGGATAAAGGGGATAAAATCTTTTGCAAAGGCTGTTCAAAGCAAACCTTTGCTTCTTCATAGTGACACCCCCTCTTCACACTGCAAATGCAGCTGAATCTGGGGATGCAGAGGGGGCTGGAGACAGGAGGTTGGCTGGAGGTAGTCCCTTACTCATGTTCTCCTTACTCCTGATTTCCATGGAGCGCTCAAGGATGTGGCCGTGGGTGATGGGCAGGGTCAGGCAGGCGAGCAGCAGGC